CAGGCCAGCCTGCCACGGCCTGGCTTTATCGCTATTGCAGGCTGTTAATAAATTACATCTTATTCTTCCCCGGGCTCTAAGGTGTGGGTACTTGGGTGCACTAATTGTCATGCAGTAATCACAGGGGGAAGCGCTGTTTTCCTTGCTGTGGTGGTGTTCACTCGGCTTTCCCAGATGAACGCGTGGAGCAGCTCTGGAGTCGCCCCACCGATGCGCTCGCCGCACTCCCTCACCTGTAGTTGCTCTTGCTAATCGCTGCCTGCGAGCTCGAGCTGAAGCCCTGCTCTTACCCCGGTAACTTCTTTTATAACCACGCTGAGGAGCGTTTAAACGCATCAGTTCAAAGCGGAGCGTGGAAAAGGAGCGTGTCGCCGCTGCTGCGCTGGGCGGGCGGGTGCCAGGAGCCTGGAAGGGTGTTTGTGCTTGTCTTGGTGGCAGGAGCAGGGGGTTGGTTTCTCTTGCTCGATTCGGTGATGAAAACAAGGGCAGCACCAATGCCTCTTTCTTTGTATTCCGACCCAAAATGCTTCTGAGTAGCTTCCTCTGAAGAACACTAAAATGGACCAAGCTTTGCCGAATCCCAGCACGCTTTCAGCTGTTTCAAGGAGTGATTTTCCTCTCTGCTAATGACTCGTGAGGCAGAGCCGTTTGCATCCATTCTGCTCAGGAGGACTCCTCACCAGAACACTCAGTAGGGATTAATCAGCGTGGCAGCCCCAAATTCTTCATTATTAAAAAGCCTCCCTGCATTTATTGCTCACCAGAGATTGTGAATGGAAGCTGCCTCTAATGGGGGCTGTGTGTCTTCCCAGCAGTGTGCAGGCTGTGTTTAATGGGAATTCTGAACCACGTTCAGTACGTGAGAGTGTGTCTTTTGTTCTGGGGTGTTCCAGAAGGCTTTTGTGGTCTATCTATGTGGGTCTTAGCCTTGTGTTTACCAGTATCTGAGAGGATTAAACAGGAAGATGAGGAGGCTTCAGCTATGCTTAAAGCTCTGCTGGTGCTTGGAAGCTTTGTGGATGAGAGTCTGAGTGTTCATCCTCAGGCCGAGTTACTCCAGGTCCTGCATAGCCCAGGCTTAGGTGCTTGCCCTCAGAGCCCTGCTGTGCTCCATTAATCAGTGTCTTTGTTCTTCTGTGCTTGCAGAGTTTGATGGGAGCATGGAGCCCTCCCTGCCACCAGACACAGGGATTCCTGCAGGGAAGAGCTCCTCCGTGCCACAGAGAAACTACCGTGTCCTGGTGGGTGTGACTGGAAGTGTGGCTGCCCTCAAGCTGCCCCTCCTCATCGCCGAATTGCTGAAGATCGCTGGGGTGAGTAAAGCTGTTGGTAGAGTACTGTAAAGCTGGTGTTGTCCTGTTTCTCTTCTTGAGGAGGGATTGTATTGATTTGTAGAACTCGTTAAGAACTCGCCAACAAAGTTTAAGTTGACAAGCAGGTATTCTTTATTGCAGCGCTGGGAGACACAGGGGATATCTCCTCCTAATGTGTGTCTCGTTTAACCATCAAACAGACCGTGATTATATTGTTGCTTAACATACATATTCATTACATTTCCGATAGATGTCATACATATGCATTAGTTGTCCGAGAGCTGTTTTACATAATTCCACGCCTATTTTCGCATGCGCATAACAACGTGGTAGTGGTCTTCGGTGGTCGTTTACTTCTTCCAACGATCTTCATCACTTGCCCGTTCCTTGAACCCTTGTTCTGGAAGTCTTTGAAGCATGCGCAGTAGATAAATGCTTACACCAGCTTAATTAGTTTGGTAACACCACTGACAGAAGTGAGTGATTTCTCCTCGTCCTTCTACTTATCAGTTAACTTCGCTACAGCACCTCCTGAACATCTGCTGGTTTCAGATACTCCTGAGCTACAGTCCTGTTTTGGTTACAATAAATTTTGTCCAAAGGTCATAAGGTCCTAAAACTGTCAGCTACAACGATTTATCTTATACAAGGATCCTTTTATGCTCTTTTAATTGGGCTTTTTAGGTTTGGAAAGTTTTGTTGTTATGTACAAAGCCACCAAACTTAAAGTTACTTAAAACTTAATTTTCTTATTTTACAAAGGATTATATTTCATTTTGTACTTCCTTGTCTCAGTATGGCTTCTGATGGAATGGAAAATTCCTTCTGGCTTTGAGCCCTCTGAAAATGTGTTGGGGGAGGATTCCTCCTGGGTTTAAAAATTGATCAGTATTTTTTCCTCTCATTTCATACTTCCTCTATACTTAGCTTCACATCAGGCTTAAAGAGCAGTCACTATTCCAGGGTATTTCCATACGCAGACATTTGGATTCTGGAATATGAAAGTGGTGTTGTTCATCCCATCTTAATTCTCTCTGAAATGATTGAATAAGTCCTTGCCTTAGTGGGGGTTTTTTGATGGAATGTCTTTGTCAGTCGGATTATTGGCTCTGGCCACAGCTACAGGTGATTGTTTCTGGAATGGGAAATCCCTAATTAGGATATTGTGATTTTCCACAGGTGAGGTGTGGACCTTGCAAAGGTGATCGCTGCTGGCTGACCAGCAAAGGGCAGCCAGGTCGTGTAAAGGCAGAAATAACAAATACAGGGTGCTGTGTTTGCCCCTGCACTTGGTTTTTACTAAGGGTTTATTGTCTGGAGTAACAGAGGTGTCCAGCAGAGGCCACTAGCGACTGAGATCAGGGAGGGAAATGTGTGAACTTTGGCTGTAGACTAAAGTTAGAGGAAAACGTAGAAAACCTTTAGCGTTTAAGAAGTGGAGCAGATGGGTTTGGAGCAGTAAAAGAGTGGCAGGAGCACGAGGCTGCACTTACATATGCAGAGTATTGGTTAGATTGTTCAAAGAATCTCCTTTAGGACGATTTGGGGGGGCCTTACCTTGTAGATACACTAACACAGAGTCAGAAGAGGTGTGATCCTTGACTAACTGATGTATCTGGGTGGTGTTGGCTATCCAGGCTTGGAGAGCTGTTGATGTCCAAGCCAGAAGGGTGCTGAGGATGCAGTGAGCTTTTGGGCTGGCACTGTGGGTTGGAGAGAGCAGCCTCAGTTAATTTATTACTTGACCTGAAGTGATTAGTGAGGCCAAAGGTTGTAGCCTGAAGTAAGAGAGCCACAGAAAGCTGCTACCAAGCAGCTCCTGGTAGTTCATTTATTAATTTAAATGATTTATTTACTCACTTGTGCTGTGATTTCCAGGCCTGACCTAAAGCCTGATGAGCCAGTGTGACTTTTCCATGGAATTTGGTCAGTCCTGCACAAGTCTGTTGCCCCAGTTTCTTTACTGATGGAACAGAACTTTAAAAGGAAGCAGGGCAGGAGCAGGGGAAGGGTTTGGTACTGAAGGAGATGTGGCTGGAGGCTTGAAACTGGAGTTTAAATTGACGTTTTGGCTACAGTGATCCTTGGTGAACAACTTGGCAGCATGGTTTGGCACTCCTTAAACTTTCACAGCTCCTTGAGGGTGATAGCGGAGGTGACTCTATCTGCCTGCCTTTTCTTTAAGCTCTTTGAAGATGGAGGAAATTCAGACAGCAGCAGCAGCTTCCACCTTTCAGGTTATTCCCCTTGCACCTGGTGTTGTGGGGACACAGCCCAGCAGGTCTCCTTGGGACACTGTGGGTAACTCTCATGGTTGTGCTACACTCACATATGCATCATCTCAGGCTGATGCCTGGAATTTTTGAGTGGCCTGGCAGGAATACAGTGACAAGAATGACATTGGCTAGCCATAAAGAAAGGCAAGTGCAGGGGAAATGTGTTGCTATTGAAGCTACAGGCTGTCATCTGGACCTTGAGGTTTAAATCATTTCATTGTGCTCCTGCCAGGTAACCTGTACACCAGCTTGTAGGTGCCATTTACCAAAGGAGCTCCTCATTCTCTTCAGCAGCAGTTGCTACTGAAGCTCAGGCTGTAAAGATTTTGCTGTCAAAACTGAGAAAGTTATGAAGGGAAATCATACACAGCCCCTTATCCCACAGAGAAACATGTGTGACAGGAGGATCCTCTACCAGCCACCAGCAAAGCTGGGTGAGCACAGGAGAACACTTCTGCAGTCAGGTTTATTGTGGAGAATCAGCTTAAGTAGTCCAAGTAGAAGAACTCTAACCAGTCTAAACTCTCTCCAGTAAAGGAATTTGAGTGTGGCTAGACTGGCTTTACTGTTTAAGCAGAGATATATCCACAGGCAAACAGAGGGTATGCCAGGTAAACAGAAGGAAGAAGCTATGTAGGCTTAAGTGATCTCGAAAACACTGATAGCTTTCCAACATAGCTGGAGGGTCTTGAAGGATTTGCTCAGAACAAGGGAACGAGTGGCTCACCCCAGCAGAAAACCTTCATTAGGGAGGATATTTAACTAAGAAAGCAACTTTCTTGGGAGAGTGGTGGAATTGCCACCACTTGAGGTCCTTGAACATCCCTCTTCTGTGCTCTGGCTCGTAGTGGGTTGGATGCTGAACTCAGTAGCCCAATTCCTTCTTCCTGGGCTTATGCTTTGAAGACTGGAGATGGTTCTGAAATGATCTTTTTAAGAAAAGCTGAGTGTCTTTGGGGGATTTATCTGTCCTTAGAGGGTATTTCTGGTCTAGGTTTTGTCTAATGACACAACTGAAGTGACAAAATATGTGGTAGATGGAGTAGTACCAACTGAAACTTCTGCCTGGCTGTAAAACAAGACTACCACTACCAAACATTCCCGCTGACAACTTGTAGACCAGACCTGGCCTCCTGCTACCATTTCAGAGAGCAGACATGCCCCTTGAAGCTGCACATTGCTCTTTAAAAACTCCAGATAAATAGCATCTCGCAGACTGTGAGGTTAACACCTCAGCGAGGCCCGCAGCCCGGCACAGAGCAGCGTTAGCACCTCTGTGGGTGTCACTGCTTGGCTCCAAAGAGCTTCCTGTGAGCTGAGGTTAACATGGAAACCATACCCTTGCTTGCTGTGAATGTGATCTTCACACTCAAAAGCACTAGAAGTGCAGCTGTGATTCCAAGTTAGGCTCGCTTGAAGAAGAGCAGACATTTAGAAGAGGCAAAGAACCACATATAGCACCAAATGCCAGTGTTGTGTGCAGCTGTGTTTTCCCATTCCCTTTTCTTCAGGAAGTGGGAAAAATGACTGATATGCTAAGGCTGGGATTTTCCAGCTGCTCCCAGCTGTTGTTCTAGTCACATAGGGTGCAGATAACCAACCCTGCTCCATTCCCAGTCAAATAGATAGTGTTGGGGAGATAGGTTAACATGTGTTGTCACTTCAACCACTGCTGCTGAAGATAGCTCCTTGGAGGTTGGAGGGGTTTGGCACTGGGTTTTAGCACAAGTGAGCAGACAGTGCTGCATCAGTTTTGTACCTCAGGCCAAAGAGTTTTAGTGGGAAGGAGTTCTGGTGAGGCTGGTTTCTCCCCATCTCTCTGCTGGGCCAATAGAACCATGTGGTGAGTTGCACTGTGAACGGCTTGAAGGAGCAGACAATGGTTGAAAGTGGCTAATAACAAGGAAAAGTGTTCTTTTTCCACTGTTACCTGTGGCATCTTCCCCATTACCAGTCTTTTCAGAGTGCTCCCTCCATGTGTTGACCCCTTGTTTGAAGGGACACCTTGGGAGGAATTGCAGGTGGATGTACAGTTGCATGTCCTGCACCACAGGTGACCAGCACAAGCAGAGCCACTCCGACACTGACCTGCTATGTGCAGAGCAGTTCCGGTGGGCTGCATTGGGCAGGCAGCTGCCTGTGACATTTGCCTGTGACATTTACCAGAGTGACAGCCTTGAGCAGGTCATGGAACATGTAGAAACTGGGGAAAACCCCCTTTTCCCCCTTGTTGAGGAGGAAGTGAAAGGATCTCGTGTCATAGGGCACCTTGGCACCTCCGAAGTGTGTCTCAAATAAACTCCAAGGGATGTGATAGGGTTTCACAGACTGGTTTGTGTTGAAGGGACCTTAAAGCTCATCCAGTCCCAACCCCCTGCCATGGGCAGGGACACCTTCCACTAGAGCAGGTTGCTCCAAGCCCCTGTGTCCAACCTGGCCTTGAACACTGCCAGGGATGGGGCCGCCACAGCTTCTCTGGGCACCCTGTGCCAGCGCCTCAGCACCCTCCCAGGGAAGAGCTTCTGCCTCAGAGCTCATCTCAATCTCCCCTCTGGCAGGTTCAAGCCATTCGCCTTGTCCTGTCCCTCCATCCCTTGTCCAAAGCCCCTCTCCATGTTTCTTGTAGGCCCCTTTAGGCCCTGGAGCTGCTCTAAGGTCTCCCCTTCAGGAGCCTTCTCTTCTCCAGGCTGAACCAGCCCAGCTCTCTCAGCCTGGCTCCAGAGCAGAGCTGCTCCAGCCCCTGATCACCCTCGTGAGCTTCTCTGGGCTTGCTCCAGCAGCTTCATATTGAGCTTCTCATTGACCAACATCCCCAAGATATATCGTGTAACTGAAGGCTCCACTGGCTTTCAACAAGGCAGGCAGGTTTATCTACAGTATCAGAGAGAACCTTCATATACTTTCACCCTTTCCTTTGTGGAAGCCACTGCTTTGCTGGTTTGGCTGCACAGAAATGTGAATATACCTACAGAGAGTTTCTCCTCTTTCCAGCATCTTACATTGACAGGAGGGGTAGGAAGGCTGGAAGACACAACTCTGATTTGTTTATGGTATTTTTACCCCTGTCTGGAGCAAGTCTAACTAACCTGGTTTTAAAAAGCAGGATCCAGTGGTCCATAGTCATTTCCCCACCTCTGGCACCAGGAGATCATCATAAAAGGGTCAGAAAGAGGTTCACAGCATGGTCCATAGGACCAAGAAGTGCTCCTCTGTCTTGCAAAGCCCCTCTTTCTTGTGAAGCCTTGCGTGGCAGAGGTGGTGCTTGGTGGTGCTGGTGCTGAGCCCCACTCACTTTCTTGTCCCTCAGCAGTTCTTTTGATCACTCAGCACTGTGCTTTGTCTTGGCATGGAGCTTCTTCTTGGCTCCAAGTGTGGGAAGAGTGATCCTGCAAGTGCCCTGTAGGCAATACCACCCCTTGGCAGTCCTCTGTGCTGTGGTTATGGATCCCACTGAGGCAAGATGCTCTCCTACTCCCTTTGGCAGGCATGTTTGAGAGATTAAAGGGCATTTTTCCCAGAGCTTTGGTTTGCTGCTTCTTGCTGCCTCTTTGAAGTTCTGTGCAGGGTGCATCTCATTCAGACCTGCTCTGGCCTCTCTGCTGTCCCTCCTAGGAAGTGGCCATGTGAACATGTGAGCTGGCCTGCCTGTTTGAGGGTGCCTTAAAATGAGCCTTTGGCTCCCACAGATACCTGTGGTGGCCTTTCAGCTGTGAACAGGGGAAGCTCCTCAGAGAAACTGCTTTGTGGCTTGAGTCCAGCTCGACAGGGTTGTCCTCAAGTCTAACCACTGGTCTTTCTTTCTCTTTCTTTTCCGATCAGCTTGAAGTGAAGGTGGTGACTACCGAGAGAGCAAAGCATTTCTACAATGCCCAGGAGATTCCTGTCACCCTCTACAGTGATGAAGATGAATGGCAGGTGAGTTGTTCTGCCATGGGAGGCTGCAAGGGCTTCTGTCCCATCCCCGCTAGCAACTGGTTTTGCAGTTCAAGTAGCTTTGTCCTGCACTAGTGCCTCCTACTTCCAGAAGGCCAGTGGGTCATGCTTCAGGAAAAAAGCAGGCTCCTGCTTGCTTGGTCAAGTGCTGAACAGCAAACAGAAGCATTGCTTTGCAAAAGACCACATCTATTTATGTTTTAATCCTGGGCCAAGGCTTGTTTCTTTGGAGCAGTTCTGGTGTCCTCAGCGTAAGAAGGACATGGAGCTGTTGGAGCAAGACCAGAGGAGGCCACAAGGATGATCAGGGGCTGCAGCAGCTCCTGTATGAAGACAGGCTGAGAACATTGGGGCTGTTCAGCCTGGAGAAGAGAAGCTGTGAGGAGACCTCAGAGCAGCTTCCAGTGTGTGAAGGGGGCTACAAGGATGCTGGAGATGGGACCTTCATCAGGGACTGGAGCGAGAC